GGGGCAATATGCTGACTCTCTGTAAAACCGCTTAGAGAGGCCTGAAAGGCCTATGAAGCGGTATATAAGTCTACTGCTATTGCTATTGCTATAAAACAATACTAATCTGTTGCTAGTGAATGAACAAGACCGTAAGTCAAATATTGTGGGGTAGGATGGAGTTTTTTTTGGTTATTTTTATTGTAACGACAAAAGCAATGTTCGACCGCCAGCTCCACCCTTTTTGATGTGCTTGTGACATCAACATGGACAGGGCTTGCATGGCAACACACAAAATGGGACAACTTGTTGCGGCCAACTAATTGCAGCCAACTTGCCATGGCCAATTCGCTGTGAGACAACTCGCTGCGCGACAATTCAACAGATACAAAAGTTACATTAATTTTGACGGAACTGTGGCCAATAATAATAAAATAAAGACAGTCGATGCAGAAATGCAAGAGTTACAATAATTTTGAAGAAAACGTGGTTACCAATAATGAAAGTACCTCAATAAAGCAATTAATTCACATCGAACAGTCCTGTTCAAACTCAATTTCATTGAGGGCTGCACCAGCATAGGTGGTATTCTACTGGTTTGGATCGGTTCGCCTGAACTGGTAGCGGAAATCGCAGCTGGCCCCATCCACCTATCCCGGCTCTATGGCATCCCATTTAGGCCCTTTTTTAGCAAAAAGCGCACGCGTGGAAGGCATGCACATGCTCACATTTGCAAACCGGTAGGGAAGGTAAGTAAATACCACCCCTGTGCATCAGGGCTGTGGTTGACCTCAAGGGGCTGGGTGGGCATGGCCGATTGGGTGTATGTGGCCAATTGGGTGGGCATGGCCAGTGGGATGCCACCCACTGATTGTTGCCGACTGCGTGGGTGTGGCCACTGAGATGCCCCTCCCCAAACTGCTAGCATGTTTCCTCTTTCCATTGGGTAGACCCGGCTGAAGCGACGTGGGTTGGCCCCTTATATTTTCCAGGATGGCCTGGCGGGCAGGATCCAACCACATCGCGGGTTGGAACTGGTCCACAGGGCTTGTGTTTGACACCCCTGGTTTAGAAGAAAAGATTGACAGGAACTTAAAAAGACCTGACCAAGAAGATAGAGCAGACGCAGAACAAATCATGTACCTGAGCATTCTCCAAGTTTTCCAGGTGGACACTGACAGATGAAGAGTCTCTGGTTGATTTCGTAGCCTACACACTGCATATCTCCTGGACAAGGCTTCTCTGTGCAAGGATCGTTAGAGCCTGGACACACTCCTCCTGTTGTACACACAAGAAGGCAAGAAACAGACTCTCTTTATCCACATCCAAAATAAGGTGTTCTTAACGTCCATTAACTTTTCACTTATATGATCCTCAGACCAGACAAAATTATAACTTCATTCCTCTGAGGACATGAACAGTCTCTAAAGCAGTGTTTCTCAACCTTGGCAACTTGAAGATGTCTGGACTTCAACACCCAGAATTCCCCAGCCAGCATTCGCTGGCTGGGGAATTCTGAGAGTTGAAGTCCAGACATCTTCAAGTTGCCAAGGTTAAGAAACACTGCTCTAAAGGCTTTGGCTGGAAGAGTGGAGAAGCTATAAAATGATTGCTTCCCTTCCCACCAACATTCATCTTAGCTGACTCCACATATCAATATAAATTGAACCTGAAATCCAAGCTGTTCTGGAGATCCCAGAGCAGGAAAACATACAACAACAAAAAATAATACCCCATTAAAATGCGGTTCAAGTAACAGAATCTGAATCTAAATAAAAGAACCAATACATATTCAAATAAAAGGGCAAGGGACTGAAAATACAGCTAAGGCCTGTAGATAAAGATAAATAAGCTAATGAAAAAAAAGATTGGGTGAATTTATTGGAGAAGTCGACGATGCTACCCTGTTTCCCTGAAAATAATAAGCCCAATCAGGCTTTTGAGCGCATGCGCTAAAATAAGCCCTCCCCTGAAAATAAGTCCTCC